TCCGAACGTACTTACCCCACGCCAGTAGTGCGTGGCGTGGGAATTCTGGGAGCTGAAGTCCACACATCTTAAAGTCGATGAGGTTGAGAAACACTGTTCTAGAGTAAGCCCCATGTTGACTGTTTTGCAGCATTTCCTCAACAGCTGAAGGGTGAGGCAGCTTCTCATTGGTGGAAACTGCTATTAACTCCTCCTCCAGGATTCCTCTCTCTTTTCTAAAGATGAGGCATCATGGAATCTTGGTTTCCTCCCACTGCCCTTTCCAGGGAACGCCTGGCTTGCTTCCCTCTGCCCCATGACAAGGCAAAAAATGAGAAGGAGGTCTAGCTGCACCCCAATTTCGGCCCTGTCCCCAGTTAGCAAGCTGGAAAGAATGCTGGCTGGTACGAAAAGGTGATGGTGGTGATGGTGGCTGGAAATTGTGCAGAGCAGAAGTCATCTCCCCAAAGAAGTGGACAAAGCCAGAAGCTTTGCAAGAGGGGTCTTTGCTAAATGCATACAGGAAAAGGGTTGTACCTTCCCAGTTTTTTGCTTTGCCGTAGCAAGCACACGTGACTCACCTTTAACTTTTATGGATTATTCCCTGAGATACATGTTTTATTACTCTTGTTTGTGCTGACTCAAAAAAAAATAATTTTATTGTTGCCTGAAATCTCACACTACTGCCTAATCTCATAAAAATGAATCTCATGCCCTGGAGAGTTCTGTTAATTCCAACCCTGAAATTATTTACCTGTTCATTTCCTCCATCACTTATCCCTGTCTGACTGAATAGATTCCCAGCAACTTCCAACAAACCCTCCAAAGTAAAGAACAATCAGAGCCAGAATCCCAAGCAGAATGAGAAAGAAAAATGAAACGTTAATCCATCAATTAAAAATTAAGTCCATCACCCCGTGAAATGTTAGGTTAGAAGGCAGAGGTGGGAAAGAGCGGCTTTTGCAGTTTTCTGAAAGGCTGAAAGTTGGATGTGGGCTGCTGGATCTCATTTTACAATACTCATCATAGAAGTCTAACTAAATTCAAGCAGGAATGGCTTCCTTACATATGACATATGACACCGCAAGACAAGCTAAGACATTTACATCAGTGTTTCTCAACCATAGCAACTCTAAGATGTGTGGACTTCAACTCCCAGAATTCCCCAGCCAGCATGGCTGGCTGGGGAATTCTGGGAATTGAAGTCCACACATCTTAGAGTTACCAAGGTTGAGAAACATTGACTTGGATTATGGCTTTTGAAGATATGAGGGAAGTTGATTAAAGAACAACAGAAACAAATGACTCAAATAGATATAAGCAATAAAGTTTAAAGCAAAGTATAAATACCTAAGCTAGTGGCTGAGGGGAAAAAATGAAAGGAAAGGGGAGAGTGCGCTACGGACTGCTTCTTTTTCATTATGCATATTTTCATTATACTATATCTTACTTATTTCTTGCGTCTTTTTTTTAAATCTTTTATATTGGTATAAGGCTTAGGCAATAATAAAACTAAACAACAACAAAACATTTCACAGAATTGAGGCAGCTGCAGAAAAGGTCTGCTGCCTGGATCTTGATGAGGCATCTCCCATTCCTGGGTTCATTGCAGGAGATGGGCAGACGCTCCTTGGGGAAGACAGTCCCCCCAAAATCTGGAACAAAGCCATGTAAGACTTCCTAAGTAATCGCCAGCACTTTGAATTTTGCTGGGAAGCATAGAGCCGGCTAATGCAATGCCCGGAATGCATTGTAATACTGATGAAATGGTTGCATCTTACACATTAACAAGCGAGCGGCTGCATTCTGCACTAAGTGAAGCTCCTGAATCATTATCAAAGGCAGCCTCAAGAAGGACCTACTGCGATAGCTCAGGGTAATGGTATGTGAAAAGGACCTGGG